AGAAGGCGAGGGGTATTTGTGAAGGAATGCCTCATGTACTCTGGCTAAATGAGATCTTTTATCACATGGGATTGAAATCTACAGAAAAAAAAGAAACATTTGGGACTTAAAATTAGAGCAATAATTGGAAAATGTGCTAAATATGGCAACACTTCCTTGTTGTAAACAAATTACCGGATTTCAATTAAAGTAAAACTGAGAAGCATAATCTTAAAGTTTTCCTTGTCTATTTATAACTGTTCACTTTTTTATGCTAAAATCAGAATGCAATATTTATCACTAATTTGTTACGCAAAATTAAAATCCACTCTAATTATGGCAACATAATCGATGTCCGATTCCAATAATTTATCAGTCATGTAGGTTCAAAGAACTAAATTGATAATGATAACGATAACGATAATTAACTTCATCATGATCAAACTTTATGAATGAAACCTGATATTCATAACTTTCAACTAATGTACATCAAAGTATACCAATGAGAATAGTAATCAACAGCGGAGAACTATTATATCAACCAGATAATAAATATAAGCCAAACCCAAATCGAGGAAAGGGGTGGATACTTGTACGAACTGTTTACACTGGCTGTTCAAACATTCTAACTAGGTTTTGTTTTAGTGCAAACTACATACTCTGTATCTATTTCAAATTTAAATAAGCATAAATATAACCTTGTCTTCGACTCACTTTGTGAGGTTGCCCTCTCATTTATGCTGGTTGATGATCTCCAAAATACCAATGTTCACACACTCTCCTTGCGTAGACTGGGAAAGTTTTCATGAATGTTTACATCAAGACTTTGATGCGTGACGTTGTAGTCTCGTACGATCTCGTATAGTTTTAGCAGATAATAAAGATTTTAAACTTTTTAAAGGAGTTAATATGTAATATGTAAACGCTTTGGATTTACTCTGGCACTCAAAATGCCCATTGATTTCGGTTACTGAAAATTCTGTGCACCACAAAAGTTTAATTGGGTTACTAAATCCCAAAAAAAAGAACGAGATTTCCAAACCGAGGCCTCACCTGGATCTGAGAGGTGAAGACGCTGTCAGCTGTTTTGTTATCAGGTAAATCTCCGTTTTCTTGAAACATAATCATAAGGGGCATGCATCTGCTATACTGATGTGAACTTTGTCAAAATCTGCACCAAATGAATGGTTTTGTATTAGTGCCTTCCCATAGTTTTGTTCTTACTGAGTATGCAAATTTCCAACCACAAAACGAATTACCCAAGTTTGTACCCACTCGAGGAATACGTAAACAAGACAGAAGATAAAAGTCTAATTCTTGTATAAAATAATTTCTTGCATTAATGTTTAAAGTTTATAAAAGATTGCATGTCAAAGCAGATTTAAGTTTAGTTTGGTTATATAGTCAAGTTATTGTAGAAATTATGGGAGTAAATCACAGCAAGTGATTCCCCGGGCCCATGCAGACAGGTGTAGTATTGTACAGGTATATAACACAGATATAAATTATAATTAACGAGCTTGGGAAAGAATTAATTATTGTTTCAAGTTCATACTGTATATTCCAAGGTGCAAAACATAAACCCTCATGTAAACCCTCCTTGTACATGAGAATTGCATGTCTTAACCTGACTTTCCAATGTTTTATCTTGCATGAATTTTATGGAAGTTAGACTTCAAGATTTATGTACATTTTGTACATATCATTGTGTTTTATGGGCATTTACCTAAAAGATCTCTATTTCTGTGATAAGTAAATGCTTTTTAAAATAATTCTTCTCACAATAACATACTTTTTCAAAGCTTTAAAGAAAGCTTGATTTATATATGTTATGTCCCAAGCCTATGACCAGCAGTTTAGTTTGGTGGGGGCAGGGGGGTATTTTTCTAAAAAAAAAAGTGGCCCTTTTTATTATGAATTAATGAGTGTTGTTAGAACCTATAATAAAATTAGATTAAGAGAGGGCCCTTTCCTGTAAAAGAGGAGGGCTTATCTAGAAGAAACATGAAACTTTCCTACCAACAGGACTGAGCTGCTATTCGATAATTAAACATACATTTCACATTCATATTTGAAAAATTACCCTTTGCCAATGGAATAAGACAGTTATAAGTGAAAGACAAAGATAGAGCTGGTAATGGAGTATTTGACCTAATTTATTTGTTTATTAAGCACAAGCCTTTGAATAAAATATGTATTAAAAAGTTCTGTTCCTAACAGTCCCAGGCATGATGTTGCAGTTTTACAGTGTACAATAATCTACTATCAACTGCTTGTATAAATAGAGAGAATCTACAATTCAACTTGTATCTGGTATCAAGCACATACTGATTTTGAAAATGTATGCTATGAATATGAGAATTAGAAGGGGTTGGTACACCTCCTGTTAGGGACAAAAATATATGATCTGATAAGAAACCATAATATGCAGATTTTTATTGGTAGGTTACTAGTACCTGGTATCAGCAATGCTCTGCATAGCATTTTGCCATTCATTCTTGAGTTTCAAATTTGTAAATCAGTTATGTATTTGTTGGATTGATATGAGTGAGATATCAATTTAACAGGATGTTTTTCACTCTTGCATATATTGTGATTTATATCTTGGGTTCTTTGTCACAGGTGATTGATTTTCTGGTTCCCTTTGCATTTTTACTTTTGCAAAACAGCCCAATAAAACTTTTTTTTTTGCTATGTAACACATATATGTCGGTTCATAGTGCGTGTATGACTAACATATTTAATAGTATATTAGTTAGAAAATACTATAATTGAGTACTAGTTAATTTGTCAGGCAATGATATCTTTTTATAATAATTCACCCAAATTTTTTCATTATAAAAAGGACCTCCGCAATTTGAAGTATGTTTTTCTAGATACATTTTCATGGTAAAACTGATCGTGTTTTTATAGGATAATCTTGATATTCCTGGATGGCCTTTTGCTGTATTTATCTTAACATATTTATAGCTCAAAGGTGCAGCATATACTTCTTGCGTAGGAATATATATTTTTTCATATGTTCTATGTGTATATCAAATGTTTGGCTTGATCTAGTTTTGAACAACTTCATCTGTTTTGAACATCTTTTCCCTTTTCTATTTGGTACTTTATGGTAGCTTTTATAGAAAAATGATGGCTTATTCAGAGAAAGTAGAAGAAATCCATGTAACATAACTTCCAGTTTAGATATAAGTGTTGTTATCATTTTCCAGATCTGACAAGATGGCAGAGGCACATGCTGCTGTGGCTTTTTCTTTTACTATCACTCATGAGGGAGTCAACTTCGATGTGAACCATGATGCCCTCCATGCTGTATGGGAGAGTGGGGTTCGATCATGGAAGAAAAGGATTGCCAGATTCAAGGTAAGTATTTCAGATTTTTAAAAACAAATTTCATTGTCTTTATGGTAGTTATGATTAACCACCAAGGAGGCATGTTGCTGAAAAGATGTTGCTTAGCTGTTGCTGTTGTTTACTTAAATGCTATTCTTACTGTACAAAGAATTACATTGAAGAGTTACATGTTTAAATATTTTTATAGAACTTCTAAGAATATGGTAAATAGACCTATTTATCATATATATTTATTTAAGAACCGCCTCATCAACATCATGTATCCAGCAGCCCCCATAAGTTGGGTGTTTACTGTCAGCATTGTCCTGGCTTTTGTTCTGGCCAAGGTGGATGTTTCTCTGGGGCTTATAGATAGTATCCAGAGTGGAATGCCTGGGTAAGTTGAAGTTTGGCGAGAAGTGACACTTTGGTCCTTATTTAATGAACAAATATTCTTTTTTTTTTTCAGCTACTAAAATTATAATAGAAATTATGAGATTATTGCATTAATTTCTAAGATTCTTATTGCCAGTTTTTAAAATGTTGATGTTCACCTTAAGTTTTTTTTAGTATTGGGTAAAATTGTTAATGTACATCCAGTTTTTCTTTTAGTTGGGAAAGATAATGTTAACAATGCTACATTGTGTACCATGATCCAGTCAAGATTAATTTGATGGTATTTGTTCTGACAGCGTTTTGTCACACAAATAAAGAGAGCAATTTTCACTGAAGTGATCAGATTTTTCCCCCCAACATTTTTCCTTTTTAAGTANTAAAAATATTAATTAATTTTTAAGCGACGAAATTTTCAAGACTTTACCGTATTCTGTTATTTATTTTTCCAGTGTAAGAGCTCTCAGCTATCCGTACAAATTTTATGCAAGTGCAGTTGTGTTTGGGACTTTGGTCTGGCTTCTCAAAATATTTGTGTTGAGGTATCTGCTGAAACTCCTCCTGATGTACCACGGATGGATGTTTGAACCAAGAGGAAAAGTGTCAATATGGACAAAGCTGTGGTCGGTAAGTTTAAACAACCATGTTTTACTCAGTTTGTGTTGTTAAGTTTAATAAAGAAAGGTAGTCAATTTGGTATGTTTTCATATGGCAGAAAAGTTGGGGAATAGCCTGTCCTTGCCTGAATGAAAAGGAGGATCTGATAAATATAATCAATTAGTGTTTCTCCAAATTCTGAATTAGATCAAAGCAAATAAGCAGAGAGGAAAATATAGTGTAGTAAACAAACTGAAAAGTATTGTTTTAAAGTTCGAAACAGGATTTGATGATAGGGAAATTTTGTGAGCCAGATGAGTACAAATGACCTCATCAAAACAACCGCTGGAAAATGTTTTCGGGCATGTTTACTATTTGCACTTGTCCATAAGCTGTGCTGTTATACATACATAAATATTTCTGCATAAAGTACAAATGTATCATTTTCCTTTCAGGTCTTAGTGCGCCTGCTGGGAGGCAGGAAACCACTGCTGTACAGTTATCAAGCTTCTTTACCGAAGATGTTTGTTCCCAGAGTGGAGGATACCATGGAAAGAGTAAGGATGCATTTGTGCACACAAGCATGCACATGTACACAAGCACACTGAAAAAAAATTTGACTTATTTAGCATATTGAATGCCCAGTTTCAGACCACAAATATTAAGTGCAGATGTAACTTAAACAAAAACCTCCGACTTGAGAACTATTTTTATGAGGATTTTTGTTAATTAAAGAATCCATGTAAATTTGATCTATAACTCCTTATATTTTCAGCATGAGATTTCTTTATCCATTACTGTCTGCATTATCCACAATTCTCATTTTAGTATATTAAGTCTGTCCGCCCACTTATGGACGATGCTAATTATGAGAGAATGAAAACCCTCTCTGAAGAATTCAAAAATGGTGTGGGTAAGAAGTTGCAGAGGTACCTTCTCCTGAAATCCTGGTGGGCCACCAATTATGTAAGTATTCAGCTGAACATTTGAATACCTGCTGATCACTTGATATATAAGACTTTAAAAATACAGCCTTTTTGGTCATAAGAATAGTAGAACCTCTATCAAGTCAGAAAAGTCATTGATTAAAATTATGAGCTTTTGTTTAAAAGGGCATGTACTGATATAAAAGAAAATATTTACAATTTCCATGGGGTATCAGAACTTTATCTTCTGATTTCCAGTTATGTCTATCTACAGCATGTGTAATGCATCTTCTGCACTAGGAGGTAACATATGCTTACATTGCTATTATATTCACCTCGTAATGGTAATATATTTTAGGTGTCTGATTGGTGGGAAGAGTATGTCTACCTCAGGGGAAGATCCCCCATCATGGTCAACAGCAACTACTATGGTGTGGTAAGTAGTCAGGAAAGCTTTGCATGTTTACTTATCTGATTGAGTAATTGAATTGTCAAGGGGGTTAGCTCCCATGACAGAAATATGTTGACTTTATTGATGACCCTAACATTTTGTGGCTTTCACACACGTTACACTTAAAATAATATGTGAACCGAGAAATTGTGTACCTTTGCTTTTTTCGTCCCAAATGTGCCCACGTAATATAATCCAGGTACTGAGCTTACTTATGCCCCAATTTGGCTGATTTTAGTGTGCATTGAAAGGCTCACCATATCAGGGCATAAGTAAGCTCAGGACCTGTGCTATATTTCATTGGCACATTTGTAAAGAATAAAGCCAAGGCAGGTAGTTACTTTTTTCACATGTTATGTGTGTGAAAGAGACAATGTCAGGGTTATCAATAAACTCAACATACTTTCTTCTTGAGAGTCAAGCCCCTTAATTGTCATTAGTATTCCAATGATTTTTACACACACTAAAATCTGGTCTAGACTCTTTTTGATAAATGTTTGTAAATAAGATACAATTTCTATGAATGTATTTGCCACAAATGCATGCACTAAGTTAATAAGTGTTTATGTCATTTTACAGGGTGCTGTTTTCCACCATCCCACCAAGATACAGGCTGCCAGAGCTGCCAATGTCACATATGCTTTCCTGAAATTTAGGAGAGAGATTGAGAGAGAAGAGTTGTCCCCAGTGAGTTTCCCTTAAACACATAGTTTAAACATTCTAAATATTTGACTTTTGATAGAATTTTTGCATTTATGAGAAAAAAAAGGCTATTTTAAGTGCGTTTGAATGATTCAGTTGTAGTGTTGCAAAAAGATGGATTCAGATTGAGTATGCTATTTTATATTATCAATATGACCTGTGCTGATACTCACAAAAGTCATAAAGATAAAATTATGATTGCAAGGCACTGTATAAACAGATTACTGCCATATATCTTGTCAACACTGCTTCTATCTTCTATCTCACAACAGCATGGTCTAGGTGTATGTGCATATGTCTAAAGCATGAGGGGCATAAGTAGTTGTTGTCCTGGCTATAAGGTTAAAGAGAGATGAAAGTTTTTATATAAATTAATTTATTAAAATGATTGTTAACAGTCAAGTTGAAAAGAACTTAAATCAGTTTATGCTAAAAAATGATGTTCATTTCAGCAAAATGTAGTTTTTGTATTTTTTCACGCCATTTTTTTATATACTGTTCCTAAAAGGATGATATTTATTTTTCAGATCCTGCTGAATGGTACTGTACCCCTGTGCTCCCAGCAGTATGAAAGACAGTTCAACTCTGTTAGATTGCCTGGTGTGGAAACAGGTGAGTGTGTGGCATATAATTCCAGAAATTGTATAAAATTTAGTCCTCAGACTTCATTACTTTTAAGTAAATTAAGTAGATTCTGTAACTGGGCAATTTTTTCTTCTCTTTTGTGTTATCTGGCGAAGTCGAAGTTAGATCAGCTTATTTCTTGAAAAATGTGCATGAACAATAAATATGATTATTCAGGTGGTTTGAAATTTATTTTCATCAAGTCTGAAGAGATATTTTTACCTTTCATTTTCTAGACAAGTTGGTTCATTGGTACGACTCTCGCCACATAGTGGTCTACCACAAGGGCTGTTACTACAAAATGTATATCCATTACAAGGGCAGACTGCTTAATCCTGCTGAGTTGGAATTGTAAGTTTTAGTGTCAAGAAAAAAATTAATACTACTGCATCATTTTGTTCAGCAGCATTTTCATTGTTTTCTGCAAATTTTAGTTACTGATAGATTTATTCTCAGAAGTTCAAATAATTTTTAGTTTCACATGATATAAGGCACAATCTTATGTATTTTTAATGAGATGTTTTTTGTTTTGATGAGACTGTGGAATGCTTTTAAATCTTTTCAAAGCTATTTTAATTTTTGTTACCAGGAGCTTTAAAAAGATAATTGAAGATAATCATGAGCCTGCTAAAGGTGAAGAAAAACTTGGAGCCCTAACTGCTGGAGACAGAATTCCATGGGCAAAAGCAAGGAAAGAATACTTTGGAAAGGGTGTTAATAAGACTTCTTTGGATTCTATTGAAAAGGTAAAAAGAAATTGAGACAATGGAGTTTGAATGGTGGCAAAATTATTAGATTTACTAGAAATTTATTTATTTGGAAATATAGGAACATTGTATTTTAAACTCATAAAAATTTGCTTTTAGCACACATAAGTGTGATTTGGAACTTACAATAAATATGTCATTAACGTTGTGAAAAAAATACAAATAGTTTTTACAAATGTACAATTCAATTTTTGTGTGATATTTATTTTTCCAGTCTGCATTTGTGGTAGTGTTGGATGATGAACCAAGATACATTGATCTGGTGAGGAGAAATACACGAGAATTTAACTTGAATAAATAAATGAGTAAAAGTATTTCTAGAACAAATATTGTTTTTCATAAATAAAGTACTTAAGATTTGCTTTTTGAAATGACTCATTGGAATAGTGTAGGATAGATTACAATGCAGCGTCCTAAGTTTCAATGTTTCAATATAAGCTGTTGAATACCTGTATAGGTGGGATGTTTAACTTAAAACACTTTGTTTTGCAGAATGAGCCCAATAAGTTGAGTTCTTGGGCCCGTGCCATGCTGCATGGAAAAGGCTATGACAGATGGTTTGATAAGACTTTCAATCTTATCATCAGTGCTAATGGCAGAGTGAGTATGATGCTTTCAAATTTTTAACATTTTGGTGTGTGTGTGTGTGTGTGTGTGTTTTTTATTTGCCTAGTTTCTTTTATTTTTTTGGTTTAGTCATCATTTTTCATTGACTATAATTTCCAGTTTTACAGTGGCAACATATATTTTAATGCCCAGTGTTTGAGAATTCACAAGATATTTATGTGCTCACTTAATATACATGTGTTAAAAGAGATGTTACAGATGTGATATATATGTTAAATGTTTCTATAATTCTAGATTGGATTCAATGCTGAACATTCTTGGTAAGTGTGTCAATTGTCAGAGAGAGTAGTTATTTAATAAGCAGTGCTTGTTCATCATTTGTAAATGTCAAAAAAAAATTATACTCAAGCAAATTTAACCATTAAAATTGATGCAGGTAAACTACGTTATTCCTACTTAAAATATAACCTGTTAAATAACAGCTGAGAAAAAGGCAGTATGCCACAGAAGAAACTTAAGCAGCCTTTAAGTATTATGAAGTAGTGTTAAATGTGTTTTTTTTATAACATAATTCATGTATATTTATATGTGTATTTTTGTAATCATGTGATTTTGATGTTTGTTAAATTGTCTCAATAAAGATAGTCTAGACACTAAATTCTGTGTTTTAACCAATTGAAATTATAGAGTACTTTACTGAGATGATTATATTATGGGTCATAGTGAAGTGCACCTTTCTTACTTCTGTTTGATTTGTGGATTTTACTTATGTTAACCAAACTGTCTTTGTCATCATCTGTATGCATTAGACATTTCCAACTGCATATCTGCTGTGGATTCAACCACCAGTGATTGCAATTCATATATGGCGTTTTCTGCAGGTCAAATTTTGTGAATAATTGGCATTTTCCAAGTAGATTTTCACCCCCTGCTTGTCCAAATAGATGTTCTTTACTTTTCCTACTGATTCTTAGGGCTGATGCACCAATCATGGCTCATCTGTGGGAATATGGAATAAGTGAAGATATAGCTCATTTAGGGTATGAGTTGCCCTTTAATGTACACAATTTTGGTGGGTTATACATACTAACATTCAAGCTTGTGCAAGACCTTTGGATCTGGTTACATTTTGTTATATATTGGTAACGGGTCCTGGAAAAATACCTTTGTGAGAATGTGTATACATACTCAGCAGGCTTTTTACTGTTAAGTATGGATACTGTCTTGTCACACACAAGAATCTATGCATGGTTATTGAAACATTTTTGTTATTATTATTATTTATATTTGACACAGCATTTATTATCTGTATTTGCACCCCTTTTTGCATTTCTTTTCTTGGTAACAACTCTCCAGTTTCTGTGGTGGATGTTACTGTGGCGTAATTCTGCGGATTAAAATTGGTCAAATGTGGTACTTCAATACCTCGACAAATGGATCTGAATAAAGATCTAGAATTATAGTTATACATAACAAAAGCATGTTATTTTGCAGTACTTATTTACTGCTGAGCATATGTTTTATCCAAATTGATCAATCTTTGTGGTCACTGATAACATTTTTGGTTATAAAATTGATAGATGCTTTACAACATTTTATGACATTATACCCAAGATGTCACAAACCATGCATTTTGTTTGTTATGCTGTATAGAAGTTATTGAAGATTTTGCATTGATCATTTTCAGGCATGCACTTTCTGTCTTTGCTTTTCTTGTTGCTTTTTCTGTCCCTTGTGCATGATTTATCTGTTCTCTTAGTTTGTTCAATTTTGTTAGTATTATGTGGGTTTTCTTTAGGGCTGATGCCCCCATAATGGCTCATCTGTGGGAGACTACTATGGCTATAGATACAGAAACTGGGTAATTATAAAATACCTATCAGTACTGTTCAAGGTCAAGGGTGCCTCCAGAGGAAACTTATCCACTGCCACTTCATCACATTGGTGAAATAACAAGCAAAATGGGGATTGATCAAGTTCATTCTGTTCATTCACTTCATGGAAACTTAATATACATATAATACCAATTTGCATGCGATATTATGATTTTTGTTTATTAGTAGTAATAGTGTTGTGTGTGTGTTTTTGTGATTTTTTTTAGTTTTACACAATGAAAGTTATAAGTAAATTGGGAACAGACGTATTCTCCATACTTTTCATGAATTAATGATAAATTACTCTTCAAGTTGATTTTTCGTGTGTATGTATATGGTTTAAGGATTAACCTTTTATAAAATATATCAAAAAAGTTATTTTAATGATTGAATCTCAGTGGATTAGAGATAATTGTGAAACAGATAACTATATTTTCATGATCCAAGTTTGAGTAGTAAGATATAAATGATATCATTTTAAATATGCTTATCTTGATGTGGATTTGTTGCATTTTGATGAAGTTGAGTCTTTTCTTTATTTAGATACACAGAGACAGGCCACTGCAAGGGAGAGGCTAGTATACAGCCACCCAACCCTATTCGTCTGCAGTGGGAGATCCCAGATGAGGTGAGGCAATAAGGAAGCTTATTCTCACAGCTTAAAAAATTTGAAAAAAATCCTGAGCTTACAGCCATCACTATTTACTTATCATAGGAGTATGTATATGTTTGTATTTGTTCTATCTCCAGTGCTGCGCTGTGATAGACAATAGCCTGCGTGTTTCCCAGGCTCTTGCCAATGATGTAGATCTTCACCTGGAAGTTCATACACAGTTTGGAAAAGGACTGATCAAGAAGTGCAAGACCAGCCCTGATGCATTTATACAGATGGCTCTACAGTTAGCTTACTTTAGAGTAAGTTTTGTGTGGAATTTGACTCCTAAAATTTTGAAAGTAGAAGGGTTACTAAATAGGTTCTTTTATAGTTAAAGCAATTTTTA